TCTAATCTCTCTTTACTTCCCCGAGTCCACCATGATGTGACCCTCCACAGCTGCTTTTGGTAGTGGAGACGGGTGATCTGCTATTGCAGTCAATGTCCAGTCTTGTTACAGCCCCATGCATGGTGATGCTATGACGTTGCCACTTCATGACCTTTTGAGGGCCCTGCCAATGGGAAGATCCCTTGTTACCGGGGGGTAAGGTGGATGGCCGCTTGAAAAAGACCTGAAGTCTCTGGACCCAGCTTGTCACATGACTGTGGATAAAAAAAAGACCTGAAGTCTCTGGACCCAGCTTGTCACATGACTGTGGATAAAAAAAAGACCTGAAGTCTCTGGACCCAGCTTGTCACATGACTGTGGATATAGGAGCATTTAGGTACAAGATAAAAGGTGTAGTTCAGGTAAAGGGTAGCATAGGGGATGATGGGTGAAACCAGAGCTCGGAGGGGCACCAGGCATCCAATGATCCCAATTTTCAGACCGGCAGGCATCTCAGGCCTCAACCGGCATCTCATTGGGTCACTTGGGGGGGCCAGAGCGTCAAAGGAACACAGGTTATACACCAGTGGTTTATACAGTCCAGGTATGGAAAGATACCCTCCCAATCTTTTTTGCTTGTAGAAATGCAGGGACTGCAATAAGCTGGAGTGTTCCTAGTCTAAATGTAGTGTTTGCAGGTGGGCTGTGACCAGCCTGAGACTTGTTTATGGTATTCGGGTGTGTTGGGGTCCTCCTAAGCTCAAGGGCATTGTTTGCTTCTGCCTGCTATTGGGGAGTGTTCTCCATTTGGTAGAGTGTGAAGATACAATGAACAGAATTTACTCAAGTAGGGAAAATCTGGAGCAGCTGTGCAGGGCAACCAATCAGCTTCTGTCTTTCATTTTCAAAGCTTAACGGAACAAACTGAAGATAGAAGCTGATTGGTTGCCATGGGTAGCTGCTCCAGATTATGCCTGCATCGTTTTTTTACTAAATCCCCCCCCATTTATTCTGCTCTGGCCAATCACTGAGGAGTTTATTCCATTGATGTGGGCCCAGGAAGTGGATAAGTATTTGAAGTGACCTAGACGGGTCCTTCCCTTCCAGACCTTGCCTGGAGAGGATACAACCCCTCACTGCTTTGTATAGCCCCAGAGGAAGACACACCCCCCCTCACTGCTTTGTATGGCTCCAGAGGAAGACACACCCCCCTCACTGCTTTGTATGGCCCCAGAGGAAGACACACCCCCCTCACTGCTTTGTATGGCTCCATATGAAGGATGGCCCCAGAAGAAGACACACCACCTCACTGCTTTGCATGGCCCCAGAGGAAGACACACCCACCTCACTGCTTTGTATGGCCCCAGAGGAAGACGCACCCCCCTCACTGCTTTGTATGGCTTCATATGAAGGTAGACCCAGATTGAAGATAACTCATTGCTTTGTATGGCCCGAGAGGGAAGACGCACCCCCCTCATTGCTTTGTATGGCCCCAGAGGAAGACACACCCCCCTCACTGCTTTGCATGGCTTCATATGGAGGTTGACCCAGAGGAAAGACGCAAACCCCTCCCAGTTAGAGAGAAGCAATCAACAAGGAAAAAACGCATCATGCTCTGCGATACCAGTGCCATTGGGTGGACTCGGTATTAACTTGAGAACA